AAAGTAACTGAATCACAGCTGAGTGTGGCTTAAAAAGCTGTACGTTTCAATGGGCCTCTGGAGAGAAGCCTTTTAGTAGGGCTATAGGAAGGGTGTACGTACTCTGTGTGTGTGGCGGTCGGTGTTTTTGAGCTATAATCAAAGGCAGCAAACGTTAAATGAATCCAATCAATGGTCAAAATGCTGAAGAGCATTGAAGCAGAACACTTTTTGATTAGCCAAGACATTAATATTAATTTAAGACTAACTAATCCAGAAAGTATACCCATTTAGGTTCCAAATTGGAACCATTCTGCTTATGTTTTGTTAAAGGAAAACATGTACATACTACCATCAGAACTAACTCATAAAAATACTATTTTATGGCTTGCTAATAAAGTACAATACAATATTTCATCGCAGGTAAGGATAGTTAGCTCCCTGTTAAAATATGCTTCACGTTATGTCATTTACCACCTTTTGAAAAATGTATTTATAACCAAAAAGACATTGTCAGGGCTGGCTAACGAGGTCGGTGGGTCGGCGATTCGGCCGGGATCGGTGGGTTGGCTGGGTGGTTGGGTTGTTGGATGGTTGTATAGCTCGGAAGGTGTGTGATGGGTCTGGGTAATGCGTTCCGCGCGTGAACCGTTAGTTGACCACGCACACCAACACCAGCACACACGTGTGCAGGCAAAGGTAGCACTTATTTTTATATCTTCTTCCCTACACAAACACGTGTATACACGAATATGTATATATATATATATATATATATATTTAGGTACTATATGTACTATATACTATGTTCGTGTGTCGTAATTGGCAGCCCTGCATCGCAGCGAACTAACTGATGACATCATGCGCCTGAGTTCCTGGGTTCCCAATTGTCGAGCTTGTTTGTCCAGCGGCCAATGCTCCAAATTCCTAGTACATACGCAGTGACCAACAGCGACGTGACATACAATTTTATTTTTTTATTGCCTTGCGCTGGCCTAAAACCAAATTTGCATGTAAGCACACACTCACAAGGCAACGTACGTACATCAAAAATACATTGAAAGCAAGTGAATTTGATTTTCCCGCGCCTACCAAAAGTCAGTGCTGCCAAGTACGCCAAAACAATGATGCCAATCATGGCAAAGTGGAAATTCACAGGGGCGCGCTTTTAAAATAGGCAAATTTACAATTGGAAGAGATTCCTGTAAGACAATTTTATAATTTATATGCATTTACTTACAAATAAGTTTAGTTTTATACATAACAGCTAACTACTACTTACTAACTATATTTACAAAATCATATGCTTAAATCAACAATTTTAAAAACATTTTTAATAAAAAAAAGGATATTCTGAAGTTAAATCAAATCGAGAAATCTTTCTTATAACAAATAAACCTAAACCTAAGGATCGATTTAAGCACCCTCGTGCTCTTCGTGTTCCGCTATCAGCTCCTTGTGGTCAAAACCATCGGCATCCTGCCGCTTGTTGCAGCCAAAACAACGCCGGATTCCATAGAAGAGGATCACCAGGACGAGGGACAGCAGCGAGGATGCAATGGGCACCACCAGGACGAGGTCCAGTTGCGGCTGCTCCAGCTGGCTAGACTGCAGCAGCACAATGGGCATGGTCATGTTCAGCACACTGGCCTCGATGGACAGGGTCAGGGCATCGGTGGCCGATCGGCAGAGGAGCTTCGAGAGGAGATAGGTGGCCAGGTAGCCAGCGAGGGGCAGGCACACGGCAGCCACCAGAACCTGTGGGGTAAATAAGTTTAAAAAATGTTTGGGAAAATCCAATATAATATCCAAAATAAGAACAAGTCGTCCGGCTTATAAGGGATTAAATAATTACAAGGAATGGCTAAAAACTAATTCCAATTGATCAAAAAAAATCGATTTATGTGAAATTTTAAAAATGAACATATCTTAAGTAATTAATTCATTAATTATTAATTGAACTATTTAATTAAATTTTAAATATTTGCAATTTTTTGTATGCCTTTCACATATTTTTTCTGATATCTTATCCAAACAGTCATCTTATCGTATGTTTTTTTTGCTAACTATTTTTAAACAAATTTGGGATTGGTGTATAAACCAAACTTCACAAAAACAAAAAGTAATAGAAAATCAACAAATTGGAAATCTTATAAAATCCGAGATCTAATCATTATCTTAGTTTTTATATTTTTCTGTTATGAAAAATTTTTTTAAAAACATTTTTAACGTTTTCTTGGCTTTTTAACATTATATTTATTATTGGACTATTAAGGATCTATTAACGCTCTATTTATTGTATGGTCTATCCTTTATAAAGTTATTTTTATATTTAATGATAATTTTTTGACTTTGGTTGGGAGTGAAACTGTACTCACCTGCCAGGTAAACTCCAAAAAGACGAACCAGTTGAGGCCCACCGTCAGTCCCACCAGGCACAAGCTGAGGACCACGGACAGTGGCTTCAGGAAGCGGAAGATGAACCTCGTGGTCCTCGGGACGCAGAGTCGCAGCAGAATGCCAATGGCCAGGCAGATAACCAGGGCAGCTGCTCCGCCCGAAAGCTGGCCAAAAGGCACCGCCAGCTCATCATCCTCATAGAGCAGCCTGCCCAGCACCAGGATCCAAAGGGGCAGAAAGGCCAGGGCCAGAAGGCAATTGATCGTTGTGGTGGCCACGGAAAGATTGATATTTCCCTTGAGGAAGACGGCGCACACGTTGGCCAGTCCGCCACTGGGAGCCAGGGCGGTGTAGAAAAGGGCCAACTGAATGGGCCAAGAGCCCGGCCAAAGGCCACGCCCCAATCCGAATCCCAGAGCGGGCATTAGCACAAAACGACTGACCACGCCCACTATGGGTCCAACGGGTCGGCAGATAATCCCAGCCAGGCGATGCATATCCAGCACTGTGCCCAGATTGAGGAACATCAGCAGAGCCAGGGCGGCGGACACATAGGTGGTCACTCGTTCGTCCACCACCCGCGATCTTAGCACCGCAATTCGCAGTGGATTGGCATAAGTCTCCGTCACTCCACCCGATTTCAGTTCCACCTCCAGTGAACTATATCCAAATCGTACGCCCGTGACATCAATCAATCCTCGCCAGCTGCCCAGCAGATCGAAATCCTCCTTTGGTATCGTAACCAGGGACAAAGCCCGCTGATCATCCCGTGAGTACACCTCAAAATAGTAATCCAGCGACGGATCCTTGGGTATTACATTGTATATATGCAATTCCACCTGCTGGCTTTCGCCCTCCAGCAGTTTAAGCTCTTGCTGACCATAATCCACCAGCCAATCGCCAGCCAGGTCACCATATTCACATCTGACTCCCTGTCCCAGGAGTCCCAAGAACAATGTTAGGATCTGCAGTACGCGATTGTTCGTATAGCCCATGCTGCGTCGTTCTTCCAACTGTTGTGGGCAATCCAACGCATTCGAGAGGTGAGCCGATCACAAAGAGACCTTATCTGACCATGGGGCAGACGGACCGGATTGCTCTTATCAGTCCAGTGCACAGGTGCGAACCGGAGGTAAGTCAATCAGTCTGCATAATAGTCCGCCGTAAATCAGGAAGGCTTGTAAATATAAGGTCTTAAAGAAAATTCTGATTCACTCTATATATAGCAATAGTTGGAACTTATCTATATAGGTGATGATAAGTATATAAACAAAACGTATTAATAGAAAATAGAGGAAATGGAAATGGGGTATTAAAAATTATATCAGTAGAATATACAATATAGTTCTAAAAAACATTTTAAATAGGTTAAATTTAGAAATAACCTTAAAGCACTTAAAACACATCATTAAATACAATTTTTCCAGGTGTTTTGTAAAATAAAATCAAAACTTAGTTTAAAAAATGTATATCGCACGAAAGATCTTAGTACAGGATTATAATAGAACCTTTACATAAGTTAAATTTAAGAAATAAAATCAGGAATGCACTTAAATTTATTAAAAGTGAAGCATAAAATACATAGTTTTTAAGGTATATTTTATAAAATGAAACCAAAACTTAGTTTAATATTTCACGAAAGATCTTCATACTGGATTATAATGGAATGTTTTTTGAAAACCTCTTACCAAGTAGATCCGCTCCCTGTTGCCTCATCAAGAGCTGTCTACTTTTCCATATTTTGGATTTTCTTTGTTTGTTGTTTTCACGTTGTGTTGCATTATATTGCACTTTATTTAGAAGGTCTCTAAACAATTTGTATTAAGTACTGCGCTACTGATTACAACCGCAAAGCAGGCCAATGAGACCATTCCCATTCTTAGAATACCATTTCTAAAACGGGGGGGCTATAAATTGTTTTATTTACTAGGGGAAACTTGGAAGCCGCCCAGTCATAAAACAGCGTAGATTGGATTTGTTTTTTTGTTTTTATTGTGATTCTTGTTTTGTTTTTAGTTGGTAAAAAAGAACCAAGTCATACGATTTAGCTTTAGACTACAGTATACAGTATACATCATACATACGTAATTATGTTTATTGCATTTACTTATATAATTGGCATTCCACACTCATGATACATATAAATATATATTGATCATACATATATCTATATATCTGCCGATAGTTTCGCATGTGTAGCGTCCGCTTTGCCCCAACAATCATCAAATTGCAACTAACTAGAAAAGGCAGGTTGGGAAATTAAATCAAATTAAACACTTCGGCTGGTAGGTAATTGGTAATATTTTCGATTATTGGGCAACATAAATGCAAAAACTTGTGACTGACTGGTTTATCTTTGTCTAGTTAGAGATAACCCAGAAATGCTTAGATTTAGTTTGGGTGTCGGGTCGAGTCAGGGTTATTTAGTCAACGAAAGCTGGATAACTCCAACTCTCGCTTTCTCCTTCTGTGCTGTGCAACCTTCTCGACGACCTATGTATTTCTCTCTCTGTCTCTGTCTCCGTCTCAAAAACACACACGATTTATAATCGCTGCTACTAGCAGACTTGGCCTAGTTAATACTTAATGTGAAATACTCGCTCGAAATGAAACATTTTGCGTTTACAAAAATATCGATACACCTTGAGGTGCAGGAAATTTATATATATGTATATGTATAATTTATAATCAAAGCATAAGGGCATTGGACTTTAGGCGTAAATATAATCAATTCAACTTACTACTGCAGGGTTACACAATTTAGGTGACTATCGGGTTACACTTTTTAGTCGCTCAGCTCGCGACGAAAGAAATATTACAATTCATTGTACGGGTATCGAACAAGTGACGGCATGTCTGCGATGTTTGGTGATCTTGGAGACAAGTGGACCAATTCTGATCAACAGACACGCCCACCTCGCACAGGCACACAACAAAAAAAAACACACATATAGACAGATACATCACGCTAAACTGAAAATTTTCAACTTATACAAACTAGCCAAAAGAAATTTATACAATTGTTCATCCTATTTCGCAGGGTCCTCACACACTTTCATACTAGTCATCGCCTCTAGTGATTGATCTTTTGCAGCTTTTGCAACACTTTGAGACCCTGCTCCTGGTACTCCTGCTTGGACATCCAGAAGCCGTCGCGGTCCTTCGTCACCTCCGCCAGAACAGCACCGCCGATGAAGACCATGTCCTTGCGTCGCGGTGGATCCTCAATACGTATTTTGAATTTCTGCAAAATAGTAATAAAAGATGTGAGTAAGTGCACAAGTAAATCAAATACTACAAATAATATTCAAATCAGCGAATAAAATCAGAACCGGAACTGGAACCGTTTTCCTAAATAAACCGATTCAATATCGTGAATTGGAACCTGTACCAGAACCAAAATACAAACTTGTTGTGGTTCTTTTACCGATTCACTTGTACCGACAAGGGTTCGGTGCCAATTTTTGATAATGGGTGAATATATAAATACAAATTTTAAAAAAGAAATTCAAAACGTGTACCAGGACCTAAAACAAAATTGTGTTGTACTCTCCAAGGGAGTATTGTTATTAATTTTGGTCAGAAGTTGTAAGCGCTGTGATGAAGGCTTTTCGGTCCTTCAAAGCTACATTTTAATTCTTGATAAGCATCACTAATACGTCGATAAACAAATTTGAATTTTTTTTGAATCGATACGTACCGGTTCCAGAACTTCAAAACCAAAATGAAACCTATTCGGTGCAGAACCGGTACCGGAACCAGAACTGAAATGGGAATCGGTTTAATTCCCTTATTCAAATATTAAATTTTATGATTGTCTACTTATAATGTTGTCTTTAAATATAGAAATATCAAATTTGAGGCTTTAACTTTAAATGGGAAAATATATATAACTATTTTAGGGGCTTACCGCAAGCTTTTCCGTATCGTTCTTGAGTACTCGCTCCAAGTACAGCTGTTTGATCTCTCGCTCCAACCGACTGGGAAGACCCGGATACATGGTGGAACCGCCGGACAGGACTATGTGCTTGTAGAGCTCGGGCCGGATATCGATGTCTGCCGCCTGGATCGTGTTAAAGGCCAGTTCCGCAATGCCAGGACCCTCGACGTTGATTAAATGCGGCTGGAACAGGGCTTCCGGCGCCTCGAATCGCTCACCGCCGACCTTAATTACCCGGCCGTCGGGTAGCGTGTAGGACTCCACCAGCACCGTCGTCTCCAGGGCCAATCGCTGCTCCATCTCGATGTCGTAGCCGATGTAGCAGAGCTTCTCCTTCATAATGCGCACCGTTTCGAAGTCAGCGGAATGATTGAAAGCGTAGCCACGTAGTAACAGTAACTATTTAAGAAAATGCAAGTAAGTCACAGTTTAAAAACATTCTACTTGTGAACAAACCTTAATCAAATAACGAGTAATATCGCGACCGGCAATGTCCAATCGCCGCGTCAGATGGGGCAAGGCAAACTCCTCGTACACGGGACATATGTGCGTTACACCATCGCCTGAGTCGATCACAACGCCCGAGATCAGACCCTGGGCATATAGCGTCAGCACAGCCTGAATGGCAATGTATGTGGAATCGAAGCCGTATTTCTCGAACATCACCTGCGAAAAAAACACAAGGAACAAGGTTAGTACAGTTCAAAATGTGTGACTATGGAAATATCACATTTTAAATCACATTTAAATGTTATATTGGGTGTCTAAAAGTATGCAGTACATAAGAAAAGTCGTCTTTTTTAATGAATTCTTTGTTCTTCTGAGTTTAAAATATAGTGTTGCATACTTTTAGACACTTTAAATGACATTTAAAAGCGATTTTAGAACCCTAATGATAAAATTATTTGAATTAGTTTAAAGCTTTAAGAAAAAACATTTAATACTGCCTCTATTGGGCCAAAATATTTCCAAAAAACAAAGCAATGACTTTCTTTGTGGTCGATGACTCACCTCGATCATTTTCTCACGGTTCTTTGTGGGATTCATGGGCGGCTCTGTCAGCAGGATCTTTGTGTTCGTTGGATCGATGTCCATCTTTTTGGGCCCGAACGTGTAGTCCCACACGTGGCACATGTCGTCCCAGTTGCGCACCACGCCGTTCTCCATGGGATAGGAGACCTCTAGCAGGGATCGCAGCTGTGACGCCTCGTCGCCGACCATCAGATCCTGTAAATTCGTTCGTCAGAGGACGCAGCGTTAGTGTCCGTGGCTTGGTCAATGGATCACCAAGGGGTTTTTCATTTGGATTGGATTTGGTTGGGATTGGATTGGTTTCAGGCGGGATTTTGCTTAGTGGTTGGGATGGTAAGCATTAGTCGGGGGCAGACATTCACAGGGTTTAGGCACAATAACAGCGATCACTCTACAAGGACATAACTAAACTAGGCTAAACGATCAACAATTAACAAGAGGCAACAATAAGCGAGGAACTCTGGCGAAAGACTTTCTCCAGAGCAACTGGAATTACAAGTAAACATGGGCCAAAACACAGACGTGCAAAACAAACTGGGAAACAAACTAGGCTTAAGCAAAACAAGGATATCATGCAGTCAATAAATAATCAGTTTTAAAAAATGTAATAAAAACAACAAACAACTGAACTAGGTAGCCTTAAAATATGTACACAAAACAATAGGTAAGCTGGGTAAAAAAAATCAGTTTTTGGTAAAAACAAAGGAATACAAGTTAAATAACAAAAATTATATTACGTAAATTTGTCGTTAAATTGATTATATTCGATTTGATTTCATTTTTTAACACGCCTCAGATTGATCCGATATAAGATTTAATAGATTTTTTTGATGTGTATATGGATTACAATTATAGATATTGGCCAAAAGGAAGCAACAAGATAGTTGGGCAGGGCCGGAATATAGTTGGGAGAATATTCAAGGCAAACAACTAGTGAAAAATGTGAACAGTTAATTAGTTAATCCTAAGTGCGTAGCTTTAACTAGAATTATTCAAGAAAATTTCGTAATATTTTGTCAAGCGTGTGTTGTTTTATGTTTTTCGTATTGTGTATATCGTATAAGAATTTTTATTATTTAACCTTTGCCGAATGGTATTCGATTTTTGTGTTGCTTGGTGATTAGATTTCTTAGTGGTAGTTTGGTTTTTGGTTTTTTTTTTTTTTTAACTATACAAATTTGACTTACATCGACATGTAAATCCTGCAAAATATTTGTTTTCAAAAAAATATGTAAAAAAAGAACAGAAAAATGTATAAGAATATTAAAAAGAACAGAAAGATTACAATTTTTAAAATATATTTTTGTATCGTTTTTTTGTTGCTATTCAAGGTGTGTTTTTTGGATGAGTTTGTTGTTGTTTGTTCTGTCTAAACTAAAGTAACTGCTAAGTAGGATCTATATAAGAGAATATAAATGTGTGTTTTTCGGGAATATCGAATATCAGTGATGCACTAAAAAAAAGCTTAATTTCTTTGTGGTCCGGCCTCCATATCCATCGATCTTTAAGCTAATTCTGGGTGTAAATAAGATGTCCTCGGACCACCGTATATTATTTTATTTAGTATGCGTATATAATATAAGAGACCCACACACCGGGACCAATGCAACTCAAGCAAAATATGCAATGTTGGGAAAAAAGTACCCGTGATGAAATCAATATGGAAAATGAAATGAAATGTGAATATGGGGTAGATCGAAAACAAATTATATATAGAAATAAGAAGATATGCCACACTAATAGACAGAATAGAAAATAGAGCAATTTGACTCAAAAATCAGATGGGGTGGGGGTGAAAAATATGGTGGATGGTTTAATGGATAGTGAACTTCTATGCGCTAAATGTTTTTCTTGCCGTTTAACTAGTCATGGATAAGTTACATCGAAAAAATGATATTATATATGGTAATGTATTTGATGGCCTGTGCACAATTCAATTTGTGTAGTGTATGGTTGTACTATCTTTTCATGTAGTTGATTAATTATAAAGAGTTGAATTGGCAAGTACGATGGATCATACCTTGACTTCGATGTCGCCGATTTTGTTCACCGCCCGAATCATGGGTCGTCCCACCATCGAGGGGAAAATGAAGGTGGGGAAATTGCTGCCGGCATATCCGCACTTGACGAACTGCAATGTAAGAAGGGTTCAATTAATTATATGTTCACATTTACATAAGGATATACAATTATTTGTTTGTTGCTATTATGGAATCATTGTCTTTATGTCAAATGTCAATTAAAAAACATTAAAGATAAAAATGGAATATGAAAACCATTATAAAAGACCTTTACATAGCCTTGTAGAGCATAATTTGGATCAAATGGAACTTAAGCAATAGTCGACGGTATTATACAATTATAGAAACGTTAATTACATAAATATCCCTATGCCCAATATCGCCGCACTTCGGAAATAGCAGAATACATAGGAAAATTTTTTAAATTCAAAAACGAATAACTATTTTGAAAATTATTTGAATATATTAATTATTGAAGAAGAAAAATTGAATCTAGACAAAATGGATTAAATATAATATAGCTTTCAAATTTACTGTCTTTTTTCCAAATAATGAAAATGAAAAATCAGATCATATTGACATATATTTCTAGGTAGTTGAAACGAATATCGGATTAATCTATCCTACTGCTGCTCATTTTCGTTTTTCCAAGTGTATCATTTTTGCTTTGGTTTATCGAACTCTTATCGAAATCGGGCGTAATCACAAAACAAAAATTCTCGGGCTTGCTGATAAGAACTGAATGTTGGAAATAAAATAGCCGTGTGCTGTGTTGTTGTTGTGCCGCTCTTTGGGTGCAAATAGGTGTGTACAAGTGTACAAGTGTGTGGGTGACACTGAGTAACGCTGGAACCGAACCGCTGAGTAATCGACGATCGCTTGTGTTCCAGTGACTAAAGCCAAGCGCGGCGGCGGCGAAGAAGAAGAAGCAAAACGAGAAGCAGAAGAAGATTGGGGGCACAGGCGTAATTGCAACTGCCGCAACTGCTTGACTAACCGCGACGTCAACGCCCGCTGGGCTGGAAAGAACAAGAAAAAGACAGAAGCGCAGCGCAAGAGGAGCAACCACAACAACAACGCGGCTTGACTCTGCTGGAAATGTGTGTCACACACACACTCGACGACTGTGCAGGTGTGCGCGTATGTATGCTTGTGGGTGGTTTGGGGGGTGTTGGTTTCTCCCCCACTTTTATCTTACCCCTGTGCCGTTATCACAGACGATGACATTTCGACCCTTGCTGTCCATGTTTTAAGGACTCTAAACGGAGCTGGAAAACCACTGCTTCTGCTGCTGCTGCTGCTGCCGCTGCTACTGCCTTTCCACACTTCCACTGCTGATGACGCGACTTGGTTGCCTTTGTGGGTGTTGGTTTTTTTTATTGGTTCCGGCGCCTCTCCTTGATAAAACAAAACAAAAAATACAGAGAGCGTGGCGGGGGGAGTTGAGCGATCGCGTTTCCTGTTGGCTTGGCTCAGCCGTTCATTAAACACTACTGTTGAATGGTTCTTTTTTTTTCTCTTGGTCCGCCGGAGAGTGACTGCACTTAATCACACACTTTCCACTTCCATTCGTACACACTCACACACACACACACGCACGGACACCCGCCGCGAACTCATACAATCGCAAACACGCGGGCGGGAGCATTTGTTTTCTTCTCCTCGCCGCTCTCTCTTACGTTTATCAGCCGCTCTGCTTGTTGTTATCTGCGAATCTAATTATTAATTTGCACTATAAATTTATTGTGGCCAAATGGCTTGTCTTTGGCGACCAGCAAACACTTAAAATTTAGTTATTTTGGGCGGTACAAAAAGGTAGCTCTTTACTCCCTAGAGGTGGAACAAATTTCGATGCTTACACGATACTATCGGTGTTGCCAGAAAGTCGAAAAATACTAAAATTAAATAGTGAGGCAAAGAGCATTTCAGTATTTTTCTTAAGCTCAGGTTATTTTTGTCCTACGCGTTTTGGCATTACTTTACTGGGTCGGTTGTAGGACCTTTACAATACTAACTTTAAGACAGTAAAATAATTTTAAATACTATGTGTCCATGAGGTTCTCTGTAACGTCCGCACATAATGTTTTCAAACAATTGGTAATACTTAGCTTACAAGAAAGTTACTCTTATAAATTGACTAGGAATTTTTTAAATTTAATTGTTTTCCTTTTGGAGAGAGCACTGTAGTTTTCCTTCTTCCACATTCCCAGCTGCTTTTTCAACAGCGGTGTCCATCTAATAGGCAAAGGTTGCCAAAACTTTTTCTCTTATTCGATTTTAGGTGGCTATAAAAATAAATTAAACTGCACATTTTATACATATATAATTATATTATTATCTTAGTATTATTAAGTTTTATCGTCAAAATTTGCGGGCACACTTCAAAATTCATACCGGTATTCCCAACGGTATTTAAGGGGATTCCCATCAGGCTGCGGGGAAAATCAATTCCTTTTTGACGACTGTTTGTCCAAAAGGGGGAATTCCGTCTTCACTGCGAAACTCTTTTTATAAAGCGACTTACGTTAAAAAAACATTTATATCGATTAAGAAATGTTTTTAATTTTTAAAATATGTATTGTATTGTATCCATTTTAAGTACGATTTTGAAAAAATCAATTTTTTTTAAGTTCCGTACCTTTGAAATTTATATTTTTGAATTGAAACAAAGTAATAAAATAAAGTTATTGGGTAAATTGCAAAATCAATTTATCGACTATGTTCCTTGGTATGGCCTTGGTAAAATTCAAAATTTAAGGAATATTTCGCCTGTGCTGTAAAATCCTCTGTCTAACCCACTGGAATAAAAATAAATAATGAATCAACCGCCATAAAATGGAAAGTTTGCTGCTGATTTATTTTATTCCGTTTATATAGTATGTATATGTATGTATAATTTAATAATATAATAAACGTTACTCATTTGTTATCTTTATAATTGCTTTAAGAGGCGAAATGTCTTACATATATATGTATGTACCATGCAGCCGTCTCGTTCCCGCACTTTTGATTCTGCTTTTTTTCTGGCTATTATGCGTTATCTTGAACGTTTTAATGCTCTTTAATAGTTCCATAAGTATGTTGGTATGGCCTTGATGTATTATCAAAATCTACTCATCTCCCTTTATCTTTCTATTAATTTATTTAATTTCGCTATGTGCCGGGAAGTTTTTACTATGCCTCATGCAGTACTTTCATTATCGAGGGAGCTAAGCAAATGGATCGTTAGTTATACATTATGTAGAATTATTATTACTCCTTAGCTTAATACTTTACCATGGCTTTTGATACACTCGGAATACGAATCGCCCTAAAAATATACAATTAATTTATATCGGATAGAGGTTTAAATTTAAGAACATTTCTGAAAGCGTCAATGGCTTGAAATCTTTATAAATCTTTGGAAAATTTCAATATTAATGAAAATGATAGTGCCATTGTCAAAAGTTAATTGCTGATATATGAGTATTCTGATATTTTAATTTTTTTAATGTTTTTAATTTTCAAGTTTTAAATTAAAGAAAATCTCCAGAAAATATTCAAACTACATCGAAAATGCTTACAATCCTTAACTTTTGTTTCCAAAATAACAAAGAATATTTTTTTTCGGCACCAAAAGTAGGGTGATTCTATAAATTTTATGCCGATTGGTTTTCTGAGTGTATACAATCATTTTATGTGGTTGGTGTTCTTCCATTTCGTTCACTTGACTATTGCAATTCAATTTGTTTGGAGGGGATTCCCCACTCCACGCGGTACTAACTAAACGTGCATTTGCGGCATAACAGCATCAACAATTTAACCATATAGAGAACAGAATTATTGAAACTTAAACGTCCTTCTCTTGTTTACCTTGTCAATAATTATATAGTTGTGGTTGCGGATTTAAAAAAACGCTATATTTATGTGTATATCTCTCAATTAGTTGAGTAAATTGTTTTCCGTTTTTCTCATCCTCTTTTTTCTTTTTTTTATAAAAGCTAAGTTTCTTTCCTAGACTGCGGCGCATCCTTGATTTGTTTCTTTTAGCTACTATTTAAATAATCTTGGTATTGTTACGATACGTGCATAGATCACTAAAAACTATTTGTTTTCCAATGTCAACTCGGTATATAATATATATATATATATTTATATCTGTATAAATATTTAGATTAGAGTTCAATGCAATTATTGGTGGTTGAAGAGTTGAAGCAAAGTACAGCGTAAATATTTTTTGGGGACGTGGATAGGTGTGATTTGGATGAAGGCATTTCTTGCGTGTGTGTATATATTTTGATTTGATATTGATATAATGGCGAAGCTGATACCATCAGTTTTGGAACAGGTGCAGGCGGAAATTGAGAAATTGATTGCCATCATTATCATTGAATTGATCTGAAACGCCGAAACTCATCCGTTTCTTATGTGTTCCATGCCTTAGCCTTATACTTACTTAAATACATCTCTTTTTTCTGCCTAATCTCTTTTCAATTAGCTTTATAAGTCAGGGGAAATTAGTTGTGTGTTTAAGTGTGTGTATTCGCTTTTAACAAAAATCGCTTCGCTAAATTATTTAATTTTTTTTAGTTCAATTTACACGCAGAAATATTTTATACGTTATTAAGTTTACATAGTAATTTATTAGTTAAATATTTGATTTGCTATTAAAATGGTTAACGATTCCGTCCCTCTTTCTCTCTGTGTGTGAGTGTGTTGTTTAAAATGCATTTACGGCATGTAATCGATCGTATTCATCAATTGATTAATTAGCTAGACTTGATCCTCAAACAACGATTATGATCTCTTCGGTATTTCGGTTATTTCCTTATTGTTTCATTGCTGTTTTCGTTTGACAAGCAACTGATAAAACGCAAGTAGTTATACACACACAGTCGTACACGCAAAAATGTAACATATTAAATCGAATGTTAGATTATGCAACAATTATACATATATATATATTTTAATATATTAAAAAAAAAATAAACTCTGGTTTCACTTTCAATGTTTAATTCGTATAAGGAACATTTATGGACTATTGCGGCACATATTGCAAATGGTTTCGAAATTGTTTTTGTTTTTTGTTTTGTTTCTATGCAAGATTACATTTCTAGAGTTCAAGGATTACGATTATTACAAAAATGACCTTTGTTCATTTTGAATTTCATTACACTTTCGGTTACATCTCGGCTTTATACTTCGAATATTTCTATATAATCATATGTATACATATATGTACGCTTCTTTTTGGCGCTGCTAAATGTTTGGAACAGATTAGCGCTGGATTTTTTTCCTATCTCTTCATTTAGGTTAGTGATTCTTGCTTCTCGGGGTTCTTCGCTTCCTATATTTTTGCGGTGTTTGCTTTCGGTTTTGTTCATTTTTCATTTTAAAATTTTTCCCATTTCAGTTTATACATTACAACTTAAGCTAGGTTATGGGTTACGGTTGGTTTTCTGCTATCGAGAAAGGGAATTTTCTTGGGGGGGGCTGGCGCGCCAAAGTATGCCACACATAATTCTAATATCCAATGTGCGCGCGCCCGCGTAAAAACAAATCTCTGCTCCGTGCCGTCGGTTTGGAGGCTCTGGGCCATGGACATGGACATGGGCATGGAGCTGGCGCGGGATCACTTACGAAATGCGGGGGGTAATGACAATTACTTAGAATTAGAATTGGTTTTAGTATTTAAGTTGTTGCTCTGCCACATTAAGCTTAATTAAGGTTCCGTTCGGTTGGTGTTCTTTGTGTTGCCTCCGCTCCGCTCCACTCGGTCCCTCCTCCAGACCACTCCTCGCCAGACTCCTCCGCGCCGCGTCTGCATCCCTGTTCGGCAGCCGCACAAGAGGGCACAGCTTACCCGTGCCCAGCCCCATTGTTGCCGCCCTGCTGACTGTGCGTGTGCGGATCCTCGCTGGGCGTGGGCGGCTGATCCCGCCGTGGCGGCATGCGTTCGTTGACGGCATCCAGGCCCTTGGCCTCCGCGAACGAGGTAATCTTGTGGTTGGGCGAGAAGCCCTGCATGGCGTTCTTGAGCGACTGCTTGCCGCCGGATAAGGCGCCGAGGGGCAGGGCGCCCGTGGGCGTCAGGCCCTTCAGCTGCAGAACCGACTCGGACTCCTCGCGCAGCACGGAGAAGACGCGCGCCATCTTGCCGATGGCACGGATCTTGTTGCGGATGACCTCCTTGCGCAGCGCCGCCTCGTCGTCCGAGAGCGGCTCCTCGCTCTCCTCGGTCATGAGCTCGTCGTCGGAGCAGATGTTCAGCACGTTCACCAGCATCTCGGTGACCTTCTCGCCCACGAAGGGCAGCGACCAGGTGAACACGTCCATGAAGTTGGGCAGCCAGTACGGGTGCGGCGAGCAGTTGAACTGCCGGATGTTCATCACGTTGTTCTCGTACTTCAGCACCGCCGCCTTGTTGTTGTACACGTCGAGATAGTTGGGCGCCGAGAAGATGGTGATCAGCGAGGGGAAGCCGGTGGTCTGGCTCTTGCGGTACATGCGGTAGCCGGCGTCCTGCGCCTCGTGCGCCCGGATGATCGACAGCAGGTTGTTGTTCTGCAGGAAGTCGCAGCAGGCGGCGTAGCTGTAGAAGTACGAGCAGCCGCGCACGGAGTTGTGCGTGTAGAAGTCCGAGTTCTTCTCGTTGCCAAAGTCCTCCAGCGGATCGGACCACAGCAGGTCGCACATGGGGCCGAAGGCGGGCGGCTCCTTGAAGCGGTCGAGCCGCCGGATGTCCTCCAGCTCATGGATCTCGGGCGACAGGCCGCCGTGGACGCACAGGAACTGCTGGTTCATGAGCGCCGCCAGCGGCAGGCAGTCGAATGCGTCCATGCAGGCGTCGTACACGCGCTCCGAGTACTT